TAGTATGAGGTTATATTTCCATGCAGACTGATTAAAGGGACAGAACCCCAGTTTCTCACATTCTGCTTTCAGTTTTGTGATCTTCTGATGCCAAGAGTTTCCTAAAGGAGGCAGGCACAAGCCCAGCCATGTCAAGACTATGTATTCAGGGCATATTTCACTTGAGCACAAACCAATAACTGAATTCACAGAATACAATCACCACATCTTTTCAGATTTCACAGAAACATTAAAAGGTTTAATACCTAAAGACACCAAAATCTACTTACAACTACGTTTAATTTAAGTGCCTAATTTTGCACACCTGTGCACTGATTTACCAACTAAGACCTTTAGACAGATTAATAAATAGTAAAAACCCATACACTGCAAATAAATCACAATGTACACCGAACACTGACTTTAAAGTGCCTCATGAGTCTGATGGTTATTGAGATCATGGAGGGCAACAGTACCTTCTACGCCACCCTGAAAGCACACGGAATTAAATTTTCCTAATGAACTGAAACGGTTTAATGGTGGCTATATCCTGAATCATTTCAAAAGAACCACATTGAAAGACCTTGTAAGAAAACTTCCAATCCCCCTTGCAATAACCTATTTGGGCTGCCAAAATTTGTAGCAGTTAATTGAAAATGAAAAAAATGAATACAACAAACAATGCCATTTTCTTGGACGTTAACATAATCCAACGAGGTCCTATACGCTCCATTCTGAAACATTTCAATAGCTTGACAATTACGAGTCGCAACCATCATCTCTTCATCGTGGAAGGATGTAAACTTCACTGCACGTGAATGCAGCACACTTCAAGAGAAGAGAGAAGATGTGCCTTTCAGCTGCTGTCACACACTTGGTCTCGCACACAGCCTTCACTGGAAGAAAACCAGATGGTCATGCACACTCAGGCAGCTGGGTCTGACACTTCTGCCTTCTAGCCTATTGTGAATCATGCTCATCCACCCATTTTCTGACAGCCTCAACTGAAGCACCCAGAGAAAACCCCACACATACACAGGGACAACAAAGCATACTAGGAACTGAACTCAGGGTACCAGTGCTATGAGGCAGTAATACTAGCAACAGTGCTACCGTGCCACCCTGAATCACGCTCATACTTTACAAAATCAAATACTTAAAACCTGAATATGATCTATAGATCAAATAGATTGAATTCATTACAAGTCAGAATAGGAACAGCAAGATCATAATCTTTGAATCTGACCCTCTGCTCTAACCTATAGAACATAAGAGAATCAAAACAGACCACACTGACTCATTCTGTACTATTTTACATTCAAATAGGACACTGGGGACTAAAACACCATAAAGGTTCTTAAGGCTGAAATTCTGTCTGCTACATCCTGCAGTACAAAGTGGAGCAATGGGGAAGCCTGGTACACAGAACAATGGGTTCTGACTTTGTTACCTTGTATGCTTTTGCAGCATATCAGATATAATTTATCACGTAGATTACAATTAAGAACAGTAATAGTTCCTGTTATACACACGCTCCATTTTGCAGTAATGCACTTAATCGTGATTCAAATTTCCACAATGCATATGTAAAAAAAGTTTTTACACGTAGAGGACATCAGAAAACATCAAAACAATTCTTGAAATTCAGGGGAGCTGGAGCCTTTCCTTGCAAGCAAGGTAAGGAACATCAAAACAGCTTTGCTAAATTTGATTGAAATTAATCATTAGCCTTCACCTGACTTCAGTACAGTAAGTCTGGCAAAAATGCAAGTTCTTGTTTTCATTTAGTTTATAAATGTAACAGACAAGTGCGTATAATCAGATTTTGTTTGTATGATAAAGTATCAGTGTTAATCTTTGTTTTAAAGAAATGTCTGCCTTATGAGAGAGAAAAAAACAGTTCCAACATAAAATTCAGAGCCCATATTACACACACCCGAACAAAACCAGAGATTCAATACAAGGGGCTTGCAGAATACTATATTCAAACTATTATAGTCACATCTCAATTTTGTTGGTGTGAAAAGACAAAAAATTGTTTAATATCTAATTACTGCAGGGGACTATCATAATAATAATGAACAAATGCACCTTCCACAACCATGTTGGATCCTATTACATTGACTATTTGCAAAACTGTGCTTCCCAACTGGCTCAGACAAGGAAAGGCAGTAACAGGTTTAACTACTCTTATGAACATGCAGAGACTACAAATACTCTACTAGTGAAAAGTATTTACCCAAGATACTAGCAGTACGTAGTACCTATAGTGTCTTATTATTACAAATTTATTCTGCTGATATTATGAAGACAGCTTACCATAAATGCAATGGAAAGTATTAATAATGCAGGACTGCATAGTGTAAAGTGGTATTAAGAAACTAGTGAAGGCGCTAATATCACTTAAAACACTGATCAACGTGATAATATACGGAATTATGAAGTGATAATATGACATGTTGGTAAAATTCAACTTATATCCACTCTCTTTCCTGCACAGGAAATGAGGTGTAAGGTGCATTAGGCACTCAAAATCTGGGGCCATAACCAAATTTGTCAAACCAATTCACTTTTTTTTTTTACATACTGCAATACTCTTTCAGTCTGAAGTTTTACTAAAAACAATTCACAATTAATAACGACTGATTTAACTTTTACCATTGGCCTTTACCAGTCATGGCCTCCTAATAATCCCCATCTCTACACTGGCTTCATCACTCTGCTCTCCTCTCCTCTCCACTGAGAGCAGGTGTGTGGCGAGTGTACTGCCATCGCATCATCCAGGTGGGGCTGCACACTGGTGGTGGTGGGATTCCCCATTACCTGTAAAGCGCTTTGAGTGGAGTGTCCAGAAAAGCGCTATATAAGTGTAAGCAATTATTATTATCATCTGTTGTGTGGACTTGCATCGTACTCATGTCTTGACAATGTTGACATCTTCCTAAAAGGGACCTTGTTAAGGTTTGTGCAAAATACACCTTACTCAACCAAAATGTGCAATATGAGCTCTGTACCAAGAAAAAACCCAGTTGAATTTTCTTCAGCATAATCTAGATAAACATTTCAAACAGCATGCCTTGGGCTACAATGTGGAGGATATTTATTATAGCACAATCCCTTACAGGAACTTACACAAAGTAGAGGAACTGTAATTTTCTTTACTCGAACATTTAGTTGTACCAGTGGGTGAAATAGATACAATATGACATGCCTTTACACACGATGTTTTATTTTAATTATACCAAAAACAAACAAGCTCATGCAGGTGTAAAATAAATCGTCCCATTACACTGTCTTTTCTGTCCCCAATGTAGTAGAGAAATAGTCACCAATGACCACAATTTCTGACGACCAGTCTGAAAAGTATCCTCAGCCTAAAGTTAGTATTTGACCTGTGAAAACTTGCATAATTATCAAGAAAGGCGGGGCTAATGAAAGAACGCGTTAATATGATTACTTCTTCCAACATACTAATTAATATTCAAAGTCAACATCAAATAAGATAATTTACTTTGGAAATCTCGCTGTACGTCAGTGTACAGTCATTATTTACATTCTCAACTGCACAAACGGCAACTCGGTGCTTTTCGGAAACCTAGCGAAAAAAAAAAACTAAACAAAAACTAATGCTTGACAAAAGAAGCAGAAGGAATGGTTTTATTACATATCCTCAATCGCCTGTTTCCTAACACGAGTGTCTACTGACCTCGGCAAGTGCGTAAAACCCCGCTTGTACTTAAATTAAGGAAATACGCACGAAAACATCACAAGGCCTCGAAAACTGAATATATTTTGTGTCACACGAGAAGTACGTTTCCGATTTAACAAGACAACTGTACAAGAGACGTAGGTCATTTCGGTCTTCTGTTGACACGGAAAACTATGAACTACAGTCAGGCCTGGACTTTAAAATCGCAGTAGGCCACCGACAACAACTCCCCCATTTGATCAGAAACACAGCCACATCGCAAACACAGGGAACCAGGAATAAACGCCCATACCTCTTTAGAAAGCCCGAGTGAAAAGACTGGTTTGGCAGTTTTACAACGCGCTGGTGTACCCTCTGTAATGTGGGAGTCGTATACGTACGCTAGTTAATTTCACAACAGTAGGATAGCACATCAAAGCCTGTCTATCCCCCTTTACAGTTTCAATATGGCTGCCCTGGAGCTGGGAGGAGTTTGCGGCCTTAACCATTTCCCGTTTACGATTCGGGTGGCGGTGGGCTGGAACTCCTTCACTTCATTTTCACCAACTTCGGGGTTGGTTTCACAGACCAAGATCAGCGATACTAACAGCCTTATTTATATGAAATAGCATTAGGAAGTTCAAGATCAATTCTAATCTGGGTCTGCGAAACCACCTGTTAGTCCGCGTTTCTGTGAACGGCTTTATTATTTATCCGCTTTTCCTGCATTTCTCAGACATTTCTGGGGCGTTTCTGGGTGATGTGGCTTAAGTATATAGCCGCAACGAGAAAGTTTTTTAGAAAATAAACACGTTTGACTGTTATGATATCGGCTTTTACACGTCATGTGTTGACGGCTCAGGACTCGAAGCAAGATAGCAAGGCAGTCCTTCTCTCAGACTGAGATGTGATAAATGCTTGTTTTACTATAAAGTAACTTACTATGATAGCGATGATCAGATATCAAATATACATACCAGCAACTGTTTAAATTACTCTATGCGCCTTCATGTCCTATTGCAATGGCTATGATTCAATGATGTATAAAGTTGGGCAGGTACTGTAAATGTTTATGTTCACATTGTGGTATACTGTAGCTCATGCCTGCATAATAATGACTTGTATTTCACGTTGATTTAATGTTGGTGCTGTTGTCTCCTTGTTGTCCCATAAGGAATTCTCTTCACCTACTCTGAGCTTTGGAGAAATGCCAAACCTGATGAGCTGTACTGTATATACAGTAAGCAGATCAAGTATGAGTTTCACAATGTACAAGGTCTTCAAGAAAACACCATTTTACAACACAATATTGCAACCAGGTGTTTTTTTTCAGTGTGACAATGGATGTTTTATTTTTCCGATTTTGCAGGTTCACAATGCAATGGACTTGATCCAGAGAATAACGAGGCAGCAAAGACCTCCTGTGACCAGGAGCAATAATGTCAAATCATCCAATCCTGAAAACTCAAAATTGACAGTGAAGAAGGGGGAGCAGTGGTCAGAGCCCTGGGTTCAGTTCCAGACCTGGACTGCTATCTGTGTGGAGTTTGCATGTTCTCCACATGTTCACATGGTTTTCCTCCCCTGTTCCAAAGACATACTGGTAGGGTAATTGGCTTCTGCGAAAATTGGCTCTGGTGTGAGTGTGTGCCCTGTGATGGACTGGCATCATGTGAAGGATGTACCCTGGCTTGTGCCCGTTGTTTGCTGTCATAGGCTCTGGCTCCCTCATGACCCTCATTACTGAAGTAAGTAGTGGTTAGGAAATGGGTGGATTGATGGATGTGTGAAGAAAAACACAGGTTTACCCATCCAGTGGAAGAACTCCAAACTTATCGGAGATATTCTGTGAATACCATAAAGCGGGTGTGTCCATTTGCCCTTCTCAAGGGCTCCTGTCCAGCATTTTTATAGATCTGTCTAAATCTTTTATTAAGTTTATGAAGAACAAGGGAATGCTTCAACAGGTCCAATTAAGCAAATAATAGATAGATAAGATTTTATTGTCCCCTGAGGGAATTTTTTCCCTCAAATTGAAATGACTTCAATTACGTAGTTAAGGGCTAAGGGAACCCAACTTCCTGTGAAACCCAACTGACCTGTGTTTCCAGGAGTGGAAGCAGGGTGGGAGACACTGTTGTGGATATCTTACTCTGGAACAGTTAGTAGAAAAAACCTGAAGGGAGATGGCAAGGAAGCATAAGGTGCAAGCTGCTCGAGTTTCACAAAATTGAAACGATCAGAATTAATTAAGGCATAATACTTTTAACCAAGATTCAGATACAAACGTGTCCTGTAACCCTGTATTGGATAAAGTGGTTAGAAAATTAAACGATGAATGATATGCTTACTGTAGATATCTTAATTAGGCAGGATGTTATGCAATAAAGCAAAAACAAAATTGCAAGATGATAGATATTATGTATATTATACATGTAATATATTATACATAGAGATTATTAATTAGAAAATACTGTGAGTTTATCATGTCAATGCGTTGTGTATTGATCGAGACAGAAACACATTTAGGAGATTGCAATATTAAGAGAAGTAACTAGATGGCAATGTTGTCCTTGTTCAATCACTGTGCTCATTTTGTAGAATAAATCTTTGGACAACTTTAGAAAATGGTCTATTGTGTGAGAATGAATACTGTCTTCTACTGTAGCATAAGAAACACCAGGGTAGTTTAAGCATCCAGGATGTGTTTAATTTAGTGACTGTGTTAGGAATGTTATGGGCGTTAGCAATATTCAATATTAAGGTCAATATTGGACCTCAGTGTAATACATGTATGAAAGGAAATCTGTACAAACCAAGGGATAGATTTCCTTATCCCAGACCAAGACCAAGCACCTAACTAAAGTATATACTGTATTAATAATTACTTTCCACTAGGTGTGACTTAAAATCAACAGCTTTACTGACATCAAAAGTTTCAATGTATTCTGAATCGTGTAGGAAAGATTTTGCAAATGCTTTTGTTACATAAAATGTCCAAGTATGTTTACACTTCATCTTTAATAATTGTCATCATCATACAATACTTTACATTTGGGTAAACGCAGGGCTTATGTTACTCAAATCATCAGAAAAGTGAATTTCATTTTCTTCTCCTCATCCTTTTTCCAGGCCAATACAGTAATTCACATAATTAATCCAGACCACGAGAATGTGTGTTAATGAAGCCATTTCTCCTTAACAAGCATTTCCCAAAAAATTAGACAGTAACGAACCTCAGACAGCTGGAAATGGTATGATTCTATGATTTGGTTTATTACTTTTCATAACAGGAAAGGAAAGAATGTAAAATATCACAACAAAACTGTACAGAGTGCAACTCTGTCCTATTGAATATTACTCCCTCCTAATCTTCTATTGAAGAAAAAGGAGCAGGCTGAGAGTGGGCGTAGGAGTGGGCCAGGAGCTGTTACTCAGCATCCTGCCACATAAACCTTAAAGGCAGGGATACCATCACTCTCCAAAACTTAAAAGTTCCAACATCTTGTTTGGAACTACATTCAGAAACCAGTTTGGCCGAACAAGATGGTTCTGGCTGTTGCAGAATTGCATTTCCTAAAAGAAAAGGAACCATTCAAATTCCCCAGCATCAAGGTGGTGTTTTCTAGTGATTTGGTACACAGAAGCCATTGTTAGCCGTGATTATAACTCTTAATAAAATAGCCCATTTAATAAGGTTTTGATACTGTCTATTCACCACCTCATGAAGGCATGCATCAGAGAACCAATTTCCAATACCTTTACAACCTGATATATTTATTTATGAAGCTGTTTTACATTCATATTCTGAATATGCATTTAACACGTTAATTCAAAGTCAGCAAAAGCACCTAATTGTAATCCTATGAATATAGTCAAGACCATCACCATTAATGGGGTTTATGGAAATCTGTATTATTGCATCCATCCATTTTCTATCTGCTTCTTCTAACTCAGGGTCGCTGGCAGCATCTCTGCTCTCAGGACACAACTTGGATGGGACGCTGACCCATCCCATTACACATACTGTAGACACAGACGCATACCCTCACACCAGAGCCAATTTTCCCAGAAGGCTATTAACCTACCGGTATTTGTTTGGTTTGTGGGACAAAACCAAAGCCCCCAGAGGAAACCCACACAGACAGCACCCCAGGTCCGGAATTGAACCCAGGGCCCCAGCGCTTTGAGGCGCCAATGCTAACCACTGCACCACCATGTCTCACTTATCTGTATTCTTTTCTTACAATGTTTAATAAGCCTGGAGGATCTAGTGGCTGATGGAAGAATAAAACAATTCTTTCGAAACTTCTAAACTGGTGGAGGGAAAAGTGTGGCAGTACAAAAGTATCATGCCTGTGCCTTCACAGGATGGGGCAGAAACAGCTGGAACAGGAGCTACAGTAATAGGCCAGCCTTTCTTGACTGATTCAATCCGCTGAAGCCATGCAGTTCAATCACAGTTTTGGGCCCAATTAAATAAACCATTAATTGGCTTTAGTATGAACTTAAATGGAAAAGCACTGCTAACTTAACTGTTTCTAAAATTACAGTTTTCTAAATAATGTTATTTGCTGACCATTGTGCTTAACTGTCTTCAAGTGGTCTGTCGGCAATGGTAACTCAGTCAAGACCCACTTCCTCTGCTCCTAGGTGAGGTCCACAGTGGGTTTGTGCTCTGCCTTCATTATGACAGCTGTCCTAGGGCTTCTATCCATTGTTCCTGTGTGCACTAAGGGCAGCATCCAGGTTAGGTGTGAAAAGGAAATTTTCCTCAGGGACTGAATAAACAATGAACAACACTGTGAAACCTGGGCAATGCCATTCCCAATCCAAAAACCCAGAGGGATTTCCAATTTTAAGGCTTTTGAATCAACCCTCCAATGATATGGTGGGATGTACTGTAAATGTAACTTTAGAGTTCATTATCACCAGCCAGATCGACACATGGGCTGAAACGATAGTTTAGAAAGAAGGGAATACAAAGGAACTAACAGGTCGGTTGTGCATACCATCAGTGAAAAGGGAGCTCTTTGTTCGGCATTGTAAAGAAGTTGAAACCCCAGAGTAGAAGGTGCAGTGAAACAAAAGTACTAGTAAAAAAATATAAAAGGGAGAGAGAAGAATATTTCACCGAGAGCTGGTTTTCTTTTGCTCTGAAAGACGAACATTGATCTTGGGCATTTCAGATTCCTCTCTGTGCTGTAAAAAATAGCCTTGAGGAGGCATCTAAATATAGAGTCCGGGGAGCAAGAGGGAAACAGAAATTGTGCTTTTCATTAGATGAGCCTTTCCATGCCTGTTCTGTGAGCTCTAGTTATGATAGTAGTTGGTGCAGCACGGCCTTTGGCTTTTATTCAGTGCATTTTAAACTTAAACCATAAATTCTATTCAGTACAGCTTGAGCCTAAATCTTTTACCGCTAATGAGCAACAAATCTGCAAACTCATCACATTCATGTGTAAAGAGTTCCCTGTGTTTCTTT